GTGTGTGTGTGTGTGTGTGTGTGTGTGTGTGTGTGTGTGTGTGTGTGATCGAGGACTCTGTGTGTGTGTGTGTGTGTGTGCGTGTGGGGGGGGGTAACGGGGTTCAGCGTGTGGTGTGAACGAGACCTCTCGCGTACACGTGTGATCGAGGACGAGGCATTGAGTCCGGCCAGCCCAGCTTAGCCGATGCCCTCGGGACGGTTCGGGGGAGGAAGACACGGGAGTCGGTGTCCCGTCCGCGAAGCCTCCTCCGGGCGCCGTTCCTCCCTCCCACCGCGGCAGAGCCCCGGCCGGGTCCGGCGGGAGGAGAGGCGGAGCGGTGGGGCTGCCGGGACCTCCCTTCGGCCTGCTCCAGCCAGCCAGTCCCGTCCCGCCCCGTCCCGCCCCTCCCCGCCCGGGGGCGTGTGGAGGCGGAGGCAAGAGAGGAGCCCCGGCCGAAGGGAACGAAGCGCCGGCAGGGCTGCCCGGAGGGATCGCTGGCCGCCAGCGGAGAAGCCAGACCCAGCGGCCAGGATGGCGGCGGACAGCGGCCTGGAGCAGCGGGCGCTGCAGTACGAGCAGACTTTGGTGAGTGGCCTTTGCGCCTTCCCCGCCGTGGGACGGGCTCCTTGGTGCCTGCGTGGAAAGGAAAGAGCGACTCTGCTCATGTGCAGAGTGCCTGCCCTCCGTTCCCTCCCTCCCTCTCCATCTGGAAGGCTCCTCGAACCCAGCCGGATCCCTTTCGCGCTGGGGAGGTTTTTAAATCGGCGAAAGAAGGGGGAAAACAGGCAGCCTCTGAACATGTGAAGAGTGCCTTGGGGTTTGTGCGCTGCGCTCTTGCCGAGTTCGGTCCAGGAGTTCCGCCGTTCCTCAGTACTTTTAAGCAAGAGTTGTTACGGTCCCAACGGGCATTGGGGCGGCGGGGGTGGTGGTGGAATCTATCGCTTTTGGCATCCCGTCTTTCCCATCCCTCGGGCACCGAGCCCCGTTTTCATCCAGATCAGCCATAATAGAGCTGGAAGGGATCCTTAGAGGTCGTCTATTCCAACCCCCTATTCAAGGGAGAGACCTTGCCTATTCAATTCGAGACAAGGGGCTGTCCAGTCTCTTCTTAAAAACTTCCAGTGATGAAGTACCCACAACTTCTGAAGGCAACTTTTGTTCCACTGGTTAATTGTCCTCACAGTTAGCAAGTTTCTCCTGAATTCCAGGTTGCTTCTCTCCTTGGTTAGTTTCCCTCCATTGTTTCTTGTCCTGCGCTCCGGTGCTTTAGAAAATAGGTTGACCCCCTCTTCTTTGGGGCAGCCCCTCAAATACTGGAATACTGCTATTATGTCCCTGCCTAGTCCTTATTTCCCCCTCTAGACTAGCCATACAACCGTACTTCATACGTTTGAGCCTCCAGTTTTTATATATTTTATTTAGCTAATTGCATCTCTGATGCATCAGCCCAAGGTGTCCCGGAAAGAAACAGATAAAAGAAGAAGTGAATTGGGACTTTTCTTCCTAAGAAGTTGCTTGTGAAAGTTTCAGAGCTATTTGATGGTGGATTGGTAGGGCAAATCTGGATTCACCCCTGTCAGATTTCATTGCCATAGCAGGCTGTCACCACAGCGGTGGAAGACCAAACAGGTGCACTGAAGTCCTTATAGCTTCCCCTGTTGTACAAGCCAGTTGGTTTGGTTAATTGAATGGTGGGAATCTGCACAGATTTTAGCTTTCCTTGATACCAAATGCAGCAGGCTAGGTTCTGCGTAGGTGCTTCTTGTAGCATTTGGACTCAGCCAAGCCAAAGGAGAAGGGAAAATATTTTGGGGTATAGCCCAAGTAGGGCTTCCTAATCTGAGTGAAAGTGTTGAACTGGCATCGGGGCGACCCTGGTTCGATCTATCTTTAATTATAGAAGCATCTTGGGTAACCCTGAGGCTGCCTCCCTTGCAGGGCTGTTATTTTGGGGGGGAGATGGGGTGGTAGTAGTCTGTTGACTTGAACCCCTAAAGTGGGATATAAACCTAACTCACAAAGAAACAAACTTCGTGGACTTCCAGAAATGTAGAATTCAACCCGCCAGAATTCCCAGGAATAACCGTATAATTTAGGTAGATAGGGAGGAAGATTTTCAAAACCCTGCCTTTATTATTTGGATAAATAACTCAAGGGGGTTAACTTACCTAAATGCTCCTGTTTTCCCTCCTATTTTATCCACAACAACAAGCCTGTGAGATGGGTTGGGATGAGAGAAAGAGAGAGGAAAGGGAAAGAGAGAAAGGGAAAGAGAGAAAGAGAAAGGGAGAGGGAAGAAGAGGGAGAAAGAGAGGGGAGGGAGAGGGAGAGAAAGAGGGAGGGAGGGAGGGAGGGAGGGAGAGAAAGAGAGAGGGAGGGAGGGAGGGAGAGGGAGAGAGAGAGAGAGAGAGAGAGAGAGACTCAAATTCACCCAGCTGGCTTTTCTGCCTAAGGTGAGACTAGAACTGTCGCTCTCCTAATGATTGGCTCAAAGTCATCTGGGCAACTTTTGTGCCTAAGGCAAGACTAGAATTCGGGGCCTCCTGGCGATTAGCCCAAAGTCGCCCAGTTGGCTTTCTGCCTAAGGCAGGACTACAATGCACAGACTCCTGGTTTTTAGCCTGGCGCTGAATTAGCACACCGATTTTACATTAACCCAACCAACCAACTCAAATATCATTAAAAAGAACACAAATATAACGGTCTGGCCAACTTCATTTTAGATTTCTGGTTAAAATGACAAGAGGAAAGGGCCCAATTTCATTGGTGAGGTTCGGGTGTTCACAGAGCTCCTGCAACCATGGAAAAAATGTGTGTGTGTGTGTGTTTGCTCTTATCTGTCTCTCTTCCCTTTCTTACATGGTAGGCACACTTGGTTTGAATAAAGGGGTCTCTGGTGTTAAATTTGATGCCAGCCTTGGCAAACCACGAGGGAAAGGATAGGTTGTGCAAAGGAATCACCAAAAAGGGCATTTGCAGTAGGAAAAAAACTATAAAACAGTCACTCAGTCACACTCAAGATGTTATATAGTTGGGTAATGAGACGTCTGCAGGTAAAAAAAGTCAGGCTCAGAGAACACCATGGAACCAAGAGAAGAGATTCTGTAGCTCCCATCGAATGATGGAGTTGATGGCGTTCTCTGAGCTTGATTTTGTTTGCCTGCAGACGTTTCATTACCCAACATCTTCAGTGTGACAGAGCGTGGGTTTTGCTCCCTGTCTAAAGACAGTAGCTTGCTCTGCCAGTGTTGATGGAGGTGTGGTTTTTTTTTCCCCTTGTACTTCTCCGGCTGCCAACACCCAGATAAGCAGGGATTAATACCAGACAAACAATGAGGCAGAAAGCAATACCGTAATCAAGGAACTAACCATGGAGAAAAATCACATCTTTGTCAATACTGGCAGGGCAAAATACCGTATATGAATAGGGAGCAAGGCCCACACTCTGTAGCACTGATGGTGTTACCTAGTTGGGTAATGAAATGTCTGCACGCAAACAACCAAGCTCAGAGAACACCAGGGACTCCATGGAGTTTGCGCTAGGAGAGTCCCTTAAAAAAAAAAAAAACCTGTTACCAAGTAAGGAAAGTTTGGATAACTGCAGCCAGGAAGATTGCAGCAGGAATGAAGGTGTTTGGGATATGGTGGTTTCGGGCTTCCTTCTGAGTGG